TTAGTGAAGATATTACGAGTGTGGACTAATTCGTTTGATCTATATGATGTAAAACTGGAAATAATTTTTTGTGATAACAAGGTTCGTGATGTGTTGTTGAATTAGTGAACTCTGGTGTGTGGTTTTGCATATGTTGTTATTTCATTATTAATTAAATGTTACGATGCAGGCCGTGGAGATTTGTGGTACAGTTCACGCTAATGATTACTATCGTTTTTGCCTCAGTTACGCGAGGGTGTTTGGGTTACAATTAAAAAATTTATTACTGTTGATACAGATCACCCATTTAGTGTTACGTCTAATCATGTTCACTTGCTTATCGTTAGTCCAACCATTGTTCGTATGCAAGATTATCAGTGTGAATGAAATCTTTTCCAGTTCGTTGGCTTTGAGAGGATTCTCAGCAAGGTTCCTATCGGTACTTCTTCGATTGGTATGTTCGTATCCGCTTTCTGTAAATTTCGACATTAACATAGTTTATTTTGAATATTGACCGTGTAAATTGTGTGTATTTTAGATTTAATTGGAAAAGTTGTCAATGTTGGAAAGTTGAAAATCTCGACGACACATTGTGTTCATAAGGGAGTTGGTGGATGTGCAATGATAGCATTTGAACTAATGAGTCTCACGTATGTTGTTGTAACTATAATTTTATTATAACAAGCCGCGTAATTTTGTAATTATTCTCCATCTATGGAATTTTGCTTCTTTCGAAAAAGAATATTATACATGATTCATATTTTCGTAATATTTGTTCCAGTTATATCTTTAAATTGTCATAAAATGGCATTAGGAGATATTCGAAATAGGAAAAAACATAGCATGAGTAAATATTAATTGACTATAAACCCTGCAATTTGTGTATATTATAGATATATTATATTGTTATAGGTATGTATTAATCTTTCTCGAAAAAGGATATTATATAGTAAATACTCTATATATATTTGCTTAACGATGTTTTAGCTATATTGATTATTTACTTACTTCTTCTTATATACTAATCCTTTGTTAATAACCGAATTCACTTCGATATTATAAACGTCTACAGATCGAAGAATCCCATGGCTCACTTACTCTCGAGAAGTATTTATCAAAAATTCGACAAGGTTCTCTACAAAGTGTCTGAATTGGAACCGTTCATTCATAGGTGGAGTGCTAGGGTGAATGTTCTCCGTATTTTTCAACACTTGGTCGGTGTCAGAGAGATGATTAACCTTATATTGGTTGATAACAAGGTAAGTAATTGTTTTCTCAGTTAGTTAATCTATATTTTCATGTGGTTAACTGTAGGTGATCGATAAAAAAAATATTGATGGTCGTGATCTTGTAGGATGATAAAATACAAGCAGTATTATGCGAAGATATAGCGTCTATATTCGTATCGGAGATTTGTGAGGGTGATTGTATTTTGTTGTGTGATTTCGAACTAATACCCGTTTTCGGAAAGTTTCGACCAAGTATGCACAATTATATGATCCATTGTATGCCACGTACGGTATTTGTTAAAACTCCTCCCGCAGAAATTACCAGCCATTTTTCTTTCATAGATATCGAAGCCATTAAAGATGGACGTATGGATCCCAATGTCTGTATTGGTGAGTTCTATTGGTTGTGTTTAGTTTTGTTTGGCTAATCTAAATTACTTATATATTGTTTGTGTTTCAGACGTAATCGGTCGAGTTGTTAATGTTGGGAATTTTAGAGGAGTTTATGCGCTTGGTTTTTGTAAGCGAACAGACATAACTTTTGAACTTGTGGATGAACGATATATTTTTCTAAGTTTTATTAGTGCATGTTGATATGATCCATTTAAGATTCTTGTGTGGAAATGAGCATTTTATCTATTACAATGGTAATAGTGGCTCGCAAGTTCCAGTACTTTTGAAAAATGAATATTCGGAGGACATTCTCGAAGCTTGGTTGTCGTGCAATCAGCAGCTCGCTATCTGTATAATGAGGTTTGTATCGATTGTTCGAAGGAATGGTTATTAGAGAGTAGAAACCACTTTCAAATGTTTGCAAATTTTATTGGACCCTCTATTTGTAGAAGCAAGAATTCTTTATGGTGTAATGAGCGACAATAACATTTAGTTATTAGTATGGCTACTAAATTTAGAGATGATAATAACCTGGTCGGTTATAATAGTTTTTAATTGTTTTTTATTTTGGATCATGGACATCGTTATTTGTTTTTTTATCTATTTATGAGTTTTTCTCTTGATAATATGCGGCCCGCACAGGCGTGTGGGCAAACCACCTAGTATCAGTAATATATGGAATCCTAACTATTATTTGAGAAGCATGTTTACTAAAAAAATCATATATGTCAACACCTAAAGAAAAGTTAGTGCAAAACAATGCCATGTCATAAATATGACATGACAAATTTCATAAAATAAACGAAATATTTTGATTGGTTAAGTTAAAACTAAATAAATCTTATTTTTAAATAAGAAAAAAAATTTATATCATATGTGAATGAATTCTCGTTATATCAAGAATTCAAAATTATAAGTGAAACAAAAAATTAACAGAGAAAAAAATAAATTATAAGTATCTTCTTGGCCAACTTCTTTTTATTATAATATTATATATATGAATAAAAAGTAAAAGTAAAAGTAAAAATGAATATTTACGACTTTGGTTTTATGTAAAAATCTCAGGTTATATTTTCGATTTAAAGCACATTCAACTCACCTTTATTTTAAATATTCTAATTTAGAGGAAAAAGAAAGGTTGTTACCTTTTCCTTCAATTATAGAGGAAAAAATAATATTTTTTCTTTTTTTTCTGTAAAGGGAGAAGTCCACTTATATTTTAGAAGAAAAATAGAAAAATACATTTGAGATGATCTTAATGTTAAATATATTATAAAGGTTAAAAAATATGAGTCAAAAAGAGAAAAAAAAATAAATAAAAATAGTTTTGATCGATTTTCTATTTTTAATTCAAATATTTACAAATATTATCTTACACATATTAATTTTTTCATTCATATAATTTTCCAACATATTTAAACATTATTTCATGAATCAAATTTTGTATATGTTGTGATCCATTCTATTTTTTATTAACAAATATATTAAAGTTAGGAACGAATCAACTTTTAATTTTTAATATAACAATCAAATATTAAATATATTATTTTACATCTTAAATCATACACATATAAGTTTAGATTTGATTGACTTAAACAATTATGTTACAGACAGTTTGTGAAAGTGAACAATTGCAGATTATTAAAAAACTTGACGAAGAGATGAGCGGAGAGCTACCACAAAATTTTATAAAGTATGATTTCATAAATTTTATAATAAATATTTATTATATTTTTATTAAAAAACCATATATCATAAAACGCTGAAAAATAAGAAATTTTGATTAAATACAAAACGATAGAAACAGTTTTCGTGATTGTTGTTAAATGCCAATAACTGCATCGTGTAAAAACATAATGTTTACAGAAAATATTACCAACACCTAAATATTACAATTCACTTATTTCTAACTCATATCTAAATGCATAGATATATTTATTATTATTTCTTAAAAAAAATCAACCATACATTATAAAAATATGTATTACGAAACATATACTTTAATATTTTCTTTTAACACATAAAAGTCATACTTCGATTTTCTTACAAATGTGCGTGTAAATATAAATATCAATTATGTAAAAGTCAAACTTGCATGCAAATATGTCGTGCACACATTTTGTTAATCTCGATTACACTCTAATTTTAATTTTAATTGTTAGACAATTTATATTTTGTAAGAATCTTTATACGTCCTAAGAGCGGTGAGGTGGTTGGTACGCAGGCCAACCATCTACCCGCTCTTAGAATAAGTAAATATGGTAAAATTCATTTTGGTTTAATTAAAAATAGGTTAAGGAAAAAAATACCTAAAATATATATATTGACAAGATTATATTGTGTATTGAGAAAAAAGAAAGTATAGTATATATAATATTTAAAACATATTATAGGAATTTAATTATTATTTAATATAACTTTTATATTTTCAATTATTTGTTATTCTAAACGCTTGAAAAAATAAAAAATTTCAAAACGTACAAAATGACATAAAACGTTTCTGTGATTGTTGTTGAACACTAAAACTGTATATGTATAAAAACATGACGTTTACATAAAGTATAAGAAAATTAATCAATACTTTAATATTACAACTAATTATGTCTAAAAATAATTATACCTACACATGCGTACGGCCAAAAATAAAAATTAAATAAATAATTATAGATTTTAATGTTTTTCTATTTATTTAGTTATCATATTTATATTTTTTATCTAAGAAAATATGTTAAAATTTTAATTAATATTTTTTATTTTAATTTTCTTTTGAAATCTATAATATTTTATATTTAATTTATCATTTTTTATTATTAACTGTTTATAATTTTATTATTAATACATAACTAATCATATACAAATGAAGTATTTTAATACTATACTAATAATAGTTAAATATATTAAATATTTTATAGCCTAGTAGGTTGTAAAGATGATTCTCATACGTATGAAATTCTCATTTTGCTAAAGTATATATATGTTCGTTAGACAAAATCTAATACATATGGAAAGACCTGGATGATAAAGTTCTATTACCGTTGACAAAAAAAAAAGTTCTATTACTTTTTAAGATTAAAAAAAATATTAAAAATGCATAGTTACCAAAACATTTTAATACATATGGAAAGACTTTTGGATATACGAAGAGGCAAGGGCACGTAATCAACGAAGGAAGAAGAAATTAGGTTTTACAAACCAATTAACAAGTCGTCGGACATGTTCTAGACATTTTAGCAACAAAAAATAAAAAAATAAGTCGTCGGTCAAATCTTCGATGTTATTGGTTCGTATCGTATTCCTGATTCAGTTTCTCAAAACTTGGAATTACGAAGAGCCAGCCAAGGGAACGTGATAAATATTAACAAGAGTGGAAGAAGAAATTTCATGTAGAAAATCGGAAGAAAAAAATTTAAAGAAAATAAAGAGAGAGAGAGAGAGAGAGAGAGAGAGAGAGAGAGAGAGAGATGAATTTGAGACTACAACTAAGAAAGTTTGAAGAAACATTTGATATGGAGAAAGCTGTGTGCAATCATGGCTTCTTCATGATGGCTCCAAATGTGTGGAACCATCAAAGGAAGTCACTTAGCAGACCTCTAACACTTTCTGATTCTTCTTCTACCAACGTGACCATCAGTCATCCTCGCCCTCACCCTTTTCTTGTAATCCAAGTTCATAGCATTAACAACATCTCACGGGCCGACGAAGAAATTATCTTGCAACAAGTGGCGAGGATGCTTAGAATATCAGCCGATGACGTATGTGACGTGGCCGAGTTTCAACAACTCCATGACGCCGCAAAGATGAGTGGTTTCGGCCGAATCTTCCGCTCACCGTCTCTCTTTGAAGATATGGTAAAATCTATCTTGTTATGTAATACTACTTGGGAGAGGACACTAGATATGGTTTCTAAGCTCTGTGTGTTGCAATCAAAGTTAGCCGACGGCACGGTTAAGTCTCCTCTCCAATCTAAAAAGAGGAAACGAGTCCTCAGGCCTGCTTCTCTCCAATCTAAAAAGAGGAAACGAGTCCTAGAACCTAGGAAAGAAACAATAGGAAACTTCCCTAGTGCCAAGGAAATAGCTAGCCTTGACAAATATTTGATCAATGAGCATTGTAAACTTGGTTACAGAGCAAATTGGATAGTTAAATTAGCAAATATGGTTGAAAGTGGGTCACTGAATCTTGAAGAGATTGAAAGAAGAGATGTGGGAGCAGAACAGGTTTTTAATCAACTGATAAAGTTGACAGGCTTTGGTGCTTTTGTAACTGCAACGGTGCTTATGTGTATTGGTCATTACCGTCTTGTTCCATCCGATACCGAGACCCTACGACTCTTACAAGAGGTATATCTATATATTTGTACTTAAATCCCCTTTATAGATAGAGATTGGATCATTAGATAATCTAATCTAATTAATCTAATGTTATGTTTGGAGGTGCATGGAAAGGAGGAATGTTCGAAAGAGACGCTAGAGAAAGTAGCACAATCATTCTACGAGAGATACTCTCCATTTCAGTCTTTAGCCTACTGGTTAGCTTCTAGTATATTTCTAAGCATATATAGTTTGTGATATACATTTAATTTATATTGCTTATTCTTGCACTATATGTAGGTTTGATCTAATCCAAAACTATGAAACAAAACTTGGCAAGCTTAGCGAATTGAGTCACTGTGACTACAAGAGGGTTGGAGGATGCTCTTTCGTGAAGCAACTCAAGGCAGACTAAATGAATCTCTCTCTCTCTCTAAATGAAAACTTTATATTTCACTATATAAGTACGCTTGGGTTTTTATTCCTTTTATGGTTTGTCTTTTAAACTGGTTTAGTGAGTTTTCAATATCTCTTATGTGTGTCATCTATACTCTATAACGGAAATTTGATATGGAAGACAAAATCTTTCTTTCTTCAAGAGAGATTATTGATTCCTCAAGATCCTGAAAAATGAACCTCCAAGAAAGCTATGAAATGTTTTGTATCTTAAGAGGCTTCATTTTCCCAATGTGGGGGACTAAAGTTTTTGTTCTTTGTTTATTAGGCTTTATCTCTGTTAGTTGCAACTGAAATTTTGAGGATTTAAAAACCCTATAATTGAATTAACTTAGTCCTTTATCCCTTCTTCGTCTGATTGATCCTGGTAATTTGCTCTCTACTAAGTATTTGCTTCATTGTCCCGATTGATGTCTAACGTTGGGTACTTTTCTCCATTTGTTTCTTTATCCCCCTCTTTCTCTTCTTCCACCACGTTAAATTGTTCCTCAACTTAGCCATATAATAAATCCAACTCTTTCAAATGAGAGTGCTATGACCAAGACAGGTTTAAATGAGAGTGTAGAAATCAATATCGTCCCATCGATGATAATAGTTTAGTTCGGTTACATCAAAGACGAGTAAGGCTTGTTTCGTCTTCTTCGGGTGCGTTAGAGAAATACAAGCAGCATAAGGTAACTAACTCTAGCATGTAATGATTTTGCTAAACGCGTAAACGCTTTGTGTAAGTATTCTTACTTTGGTGGTCATAGAGGTGATTTGTTTCTTTCTTTAACTAACTTTGGGGATGTTCTTGGGGGTCGTCTTGATGTCACGTATACTATTGGTAGGCTTTGTGATAACTGATAATAAAATCATTTAGGTTGAACGGAGTTTACAGATATTTTAATTTTTATTTGATTTTTCTAGATTTGATTGGTATTCTTGTGAACGTCGGTGATCTTGAGATTTTTGATGTGAATAAGATACAAGAAGACTACGCTGCTATTCTATTTAAACTTCACGATGACAGGTGAGACTTTTTTATATTTTGTTACCATAGTTTCAATTGGTTCGGTTATTGGAATGCATTCTTTTGTAGACACCGTGTCATCAATTGTGTTGCTTTGGGAAAACTGGCCGAAAATTTTGCTTTTCAATGGGCTCAACTTCGTGGCGTAGAAGTTGTTTGTATTCTGAGGTGATGGTGTATCAGTAATGAATATGCAGGTATTGCAATAATGTACCCAACTATGTTTGTTTATTTTGACACCGTGACATCAGATGAGTTGTCTTTTGATCCACTGTATTTTGTTTTCGTATAGGCATTACAAGCGTTTACGCAATGAAGAAGTATTGTGAATTTCTTTTCAATGCAAACAATCCTGATGTTCGTGATTTCCGTGCTAGGTATTATTACTACAACCATTGTATAATATTTAAATTAATGGTTACCATGTATTTGTTCATGTTATGGATTTTGTTATAGGCTACAGTGTGATAAAGAGCTCTCGACTGCAAGATGCGGTGTGAATGGTCATTAAACCAGTTGTTTGGAAGCATTGCTTGTGAAGAATAATGCAAGTGTATCGTGTGTGTGGCGTCGAGACCTCTTTTAATTGATTAAATAATTGTATTTGTAATATCAACATATCTATATTTTGATGATTTGTTTTGTTTCCATATTTTGTTTGGATTCTTTGTATATTTGATTTTTGTTTGGTTATTAGATTATAGTTTACCGTGTTCTTGACATTGAATTTGCGGGTCTGTAGTTATGAGTCGTACCAACGCCAAGTCAAACCAAGTCATATGAAAAAAGCCAAATTTTTTTACCGATGATCAAGCAATTAGATATGTCTAATTATCGATAATATCGATTAATTGATTCTATGCACTAGAAGTGGAAAGCATATTTATATATTACTCAGAATATTTCAGAGCCTTGTGTTTAGCAGTTTTGTAGCGTCATTGGGTTATAAGTTTAAATCCGGTCTCGGTGTTTTCGAGTTTTAGCAAATGACATTGATATATTCTGAATTTAGTAGATTGTGGTTGCAGGTTGAGGAAAACGTGGTAGAGGAGGGTGTGGTGGTCGTGGACTTTTCGATAATTAAGTCCCTGGACAATGTACTTCTTTCTTTCTTTATCTCTTCTATATTTGTTACATTTTGCTTAACTCTCTCGCTTCTCAAGCTGTATGGTTTAACTGCCATAGTTTGTATTGTTATTTGCTTTTATTTGAAAACCCTTTATTAATAAAAATAATAATACATTATTATGTTAATTGTTGGTTAGCGTTTTGGAGAATGTGAACTATCGCGAATATTAAAAGTTCTGAACCTTTCGAATCTTTTTGTTTATTGTATATATGCATAATGATTACCTCGTGGAAAACGGCTTTTTTAAATAGTATATATATAATCTATCGGTGCCCGTTTCTTTGACTACAGTATATTCTATATTCTAGAGATCGATACTGTCTCGATATTCATGGAAATTTGGATATTCGAAAACAATCATCTGTTATCTGTTATCTTGGAATGGAGGGAGTTTCTAGAATAAGTGAGTTGGAATCTTCAAGAATGGATTGGGAAATCAGAGTGATGGTTTATAAGAGATAGCTAGAGTTGGTGCCCGACGCTGGCGATGTTCTTCATTTTATTCTTATCGATGATCAAGTAAGATTCTTCTTCATGTTCGCTTGATTGTGTTTGTTCCAGTTTGGTTTTTTTTTTTAAATCGTTGGTTATGTTATAGGGCTCGAAAATACAGCAACTGTTGGAAGCGAGGAATTGGTTCTTTATTTCTCAAAGAGGCTCCACAAGGGAGGTTCGTGGAAAAGAATCAAGAATTTTAAAGTGGTATCGGCGAGATCGGCTAGACAGATGACTAAAAATATTTGGAAAACAGAGTTTGAGTCTAGCACAAAGGTATTGAGTGATTTCAAAACCGGTGATTTATACAGAGGAGATTATCCACATATGCATTTTCTCGGTTTTGAGGATTTAATTTCTACCTCGAATGCTTTCAACGGAATTGTCCTGTTGGTAAGTCTTCCTAAGGATCGCTCGATTGTGGTTTTGATTCAAGAATTCTGTTTGTATTTTTTTTTCATTTTGTGGTAATGTGTTTAGATTTGGTGGGTGCGATTGATTCGGTTGGTGAACTGGAGCTTGTAAAAGATCGTTCGCTTGAAGCTTTCGAGACAAAAAGGACGGCAAGGATCAAATTTACTTTGCGGGATGAAACGTAAGTTTTTGGTTATCATCCGTAATTGGCTTAATGTTATTTATGAATTGGAATAAGTTGGACTAATATGATTTCAGTGAAAGAACAATAACATGCTTTGCGCACAGAAAATTGGCGATCGAGTTCAATGACAGGTGGTGTTGTTGCAGAGAACAATTAGTCATTTGTGTCCTGAGTGACTGGCGTGTCATCGTACGCAATGGTAAGACACTAAAGTTATTTTATCAAGTTTCTTTGTGTATGGATCACGTTCGTTGATTGTATCATTGTCAACTCTTTTATAGAAGAGTATCATGTTTCTGATCATATCGGTGTCTCGGGAGTTTTTATTCAATCTAGATATCCAAGAGGCGCTTGAGTTACGAGACATTCCGTAAGATCATATTTTTATTTTATTATAATTTCTTTGTACTTGTAGTAATGATTATGTGTTTTCTAATTCTATTGCTTGTGTATATTTGATTAGAATTGGAGGTAGTGATGATAAGGACGATGAGGCCGAGGAAGAAGATCCTATCCAAGACATATGACTTCAGTTAATTCATTTTCGAACTTTAGGTGTTTTAAGCATTTGTTACTCTCCGTGTTGTTTTCTTTCAACTGATTTGTAACTTCTGTACCGGAACGTCCCGGTAATGGTGTTGACCCTTTTATAATGCATTGTGTTATTTAATTTGGAGTTTGTATTGAAGTTGAAATATATCGATAACGAGTGTTTCTGTAGATTCTTATATGTAAACCGGTGTATCGATGCCCACAGCGTAAATGATTATTAAACACATAATATGATTACTAAACACATAAAGTCTTAGGTATAAAATAAACTGAATCATATCAACTATAATATAACGAATCTCAGTTTATATATTAAAAAAAATGAGAAAAATAAATCTAATGAAGCGATCTTGTGCATGACTTCTTCTTTACTCAACCCTACTGTCCTTGGTTTAATTATAGCGCATGATATGCTGCTGCAAAAGTATCATGGACAGTGCCATTGACGGTCCTATGTCCTCGAATGATGTTGGTACTTGTAGTAGTTGTCTTAGGTAATAGATTTCAGTGTATCCCATCGATACAAATGGTAGACCAACGTCTTCTGCTATGTTCCTTCGACATTTACGAGGAAGCCATTCTTTTGTTTTGGTATACCAGACCCAATGTAGCGGGAACTCCGTGTACAGGTAGTCTCTCGCTTCAGGATACAAACGGTTGCAATCCATCCAGGCTACGAATTGGGTTTTGTGGATTATCCGCGGTGATTCTTCTTCATTGTACGTTATTATATTTGTATGTGGGAGATGGAATGGTAACAGCTTCATCGCACAACCACACAATGATAGCGAACTCAGATAGGTTCTCTCTTTAGATAAATGATCATTCCTGTATTCGGTGAGCAGATTATATATACCCTCTCTGATACCAGGGTTTTTAGTCGGTTTGTAGCTTTTATCTTTTTACGGTATGGGTGCCTAATTGTTTTTGGTTCTTACTCTATTCCATTTATTTAGATTGGCTTGATTAGTACGATATAGTTGATGAGCACAGCAAGATTTTAAAGGATATTTAATGTTCCTTATTTGTAGAAAATTTTACTTTTTATGATATGGTTATTTAGCTGTTTTGGTTGGTATTTTATTCAATTTAGTCAAATTTGATTTCAACGACGTAGTTGATAAGTACAGAGAGTTCTTAAAGAATATTAATATTGCCTTTATTGTAGATAAATACGTGTACATAGTTATTTGTGTATATTCGATAATCGTGAATCTTATAATGCAAATCTATTAGTTAAGGTAGTCCATGAGTACATTCGTATATTTTAATATATTGTTAAATGTTAGTTAAACATAGAGTTGCCTAGATAATATTCGCTGTATATATTATATAATTTAAAAATTATATAACTAATTGGTATAAGTACTAATCATTATTCGTTGTTTCGTGGCATTTTACTGCGATCGGTTATGCACTAAGGGTGATCATTGCATACAAACTACTTTAACGTCATGGTCCTTTCTCTGTATGTTGTTGTGTTGT